CATCGTCTAAGTCCTGTTTCTCTCTTTTACACTATTCATCGTCCTCACTACTCATCTTTACGTCTTCATCACTCTAAATACGTTCGTCTTCCACCTTCTGTTGATGGTTTTTCTCCACAAACGGTGCGTTCTTCATTTTTTTGAAAAAAGTCTTTGTCTTTTTTGACTTAAGTAAGATTTTCTACTTAAGTTTTTTTAAGAAACAGGCCCCTGGAAGATTATTCCAATCAGGGGCCTGTTTCTTAAAAAAACTTAAGTAGAAAATCTTACTTAAGTCAAAAAAGACAAAGACTTTTTTGGACTTAAGTTTGACTTAAGTCAAACTTTCTACTTAAGTTTTTTTAAGAAACAGGCCCCAGAGTCAGTTATTTGTCTTTCTTCTTTTATGTCTTTCAAAACAGCCTTACTTCAGTATCTCTTCCAGTGAAACGCTTGTCAGTTAAGTATTTATGCTTGTTCTTTTTTTGTTTTTGTTTTTTAAAAATTTTTTGTTTTCTTTTACTACTTCTGGTTCTAATCTTAGTTGTCTTCTTTATTTTGTTATTTCTTTTATTACTATTCTGGTGTTGTTTGGCTTGAGTCATTGTTACTACAGGTCGGTGACCTTTGATGAGTCTCACTTTTCGTGAATAAACAATCTTAGTCTAATTCTTGCCCGATCGGAACCGACCAGTCCTTTTATATTCCGGCGTGTTCTTTGCAACCGGATTCTGGCTGACTGTTCCTGCGACAGGTTCCGTTCTGTTTCCGACAGGTTCCAGTCAAAAAAGTCGTTGGAATTTCCGAGTCGGAAACCCTACGGAATCCGGTGGTAGCAACACACCGGAACATAAAGGAAACGACCAGAACGACGACGGAATACAACAAAACCGATCGGTTCCGCGACGGTTCCGGCGGCCGAAAAGGATCGACCTGGATATTTTTGACTCCTATACGAGTATACGAGTCAAAAATAGCCGTCGCTATAGTGAGAAACAACCTATTTTCAGACACTGATCTGTATATTTGTCGGATAGAAATTGGAAAGGCTGCGAGGAGCTAATAAAATATACAATTTGCGCCTCCTTCGCGAATTAACGTTCGTTAGCGCAGTGTCGCTTTATGATTGGCTGTAGATCTGTCTTAGTGTTGAACTGGATATAAAATGGAATATGCTCCAGGAGGGTGTTTCATAAAAATTCTTAAGTGCTCGATTTAATTAAGTCTCCGTTTTGTACACTTGCGTGTTAATTTTATCCGCTTAAGTCTGACTTAAGTCGAGTACCTAAGAATTTTTATGAAACACCTCCTGGCAAGAATGATGAATAAATGATCATGATCACATCCTGCCTCTTTGTTCACTAACCGAAACAAATACATTGGATCGTATTCTTCCAAGTCTGTTTTTCTAAAAAAAACGGAGATTGAATAACATTAGTGACTGGTAACATGAAGACGTGGAGAATTGATGTTTAACAATGCTGATAATCTGTGCTTCGCTTGAGATCTTATCAATATGTGCTCATTATGGGACTAGATTTAAATATTTATTTGCAAAAGTTCAGATCTGAACTTTCATCAAATTCTGGTTTTGCCGAGAAAATGCATATACTGATTTCCAGTTTTATAGGACAAGCGTATGTAACAGTGTGACAAGTTAGATAAGGAACTAGCTTTTAGAATGCTTGTTTGAAGTTTATGTAATCAAATGGAGTAAGATAGAAAATCTAAAATTTGCCTAAACTTAGTTTCACCTAGAACACATTTTTTAATATGACTCATCTCATTCAAAGGATTCATTTACGGCAGCTGTTAACTAAGTTAGGTTACAGAGAATTTGGATAAAAAAGCAAACATCGACAGCAACGACTCATCAACTGAATTTTGTACAGAAAATGATCATTATAGTCTAAGTAAGGACAAAATTCTCCTTTTTTCGAGTAGTAACATTGTGCTCATTGTAACAAGTTTTGATGTTCTTCTAACGGACTTTTCGCCACATGGATGTTCGTATTTTTGTGTATGGTTTTTAGATTTAAACCGGCGTGAATCAGTATTTTATGGAACTTCTTCATCGACGAAACAACCAGAGTAGTAAGATCAAACAAGAAGATGATACAGCACTGAATGAAGAGTTATTAGAGGACAACCAACCAACAACAGAAGTACCATCAGTGGTACAACGTTCATTATTTTCTCAGTTAGAAATGTTAAACGGGAATTCTCTCCAATTACTAATCAATCAATCATCATCAAATTCATATTTTTTTACACGTATCATCTTCGTTCATTTGATGGGACTGATTTATATATTTTCATTTCTGGCTGCATTTAATCATGCACCTGTTCTTATTGGTCATAAGGGTTTATATCCAGCCTATCTGCACATTCAAAATATGTATAAAAATTATGGGTCGGAAGCTCCTTGGATTTCACCTTCGTTTTTCTACTTTCTACCAATGGAATCATCGGATATAGCATTGAAAACCGTATGTGCTATTGGAACAGTACTTGGCATGTTCATGTTATTTACAGGAAGATGTAATTCGATTATATTATTTCTATTATGGTGTCTACATATGAGTCTATACAATATTGGACAATTATTTTATGGTTTTGGCTGGGAGGTTTGTAATCTAATAGAGTTTTAAAACATCTCATATTAAATAAAATATTTTTATTTCATTATTTTAGTCGCAGATATTAGAAACAACATTTTTGGGCATGTTTCTTGTACCATTTTATAGTTTAAAACGTATAAATAAACATAGTCCTCCAAGTATACTGTTTGTATTTTTGATGCGATTTCTCATATTTCGCATTATGATGGGAGCCGGTTTAATCAAAATTAGAGGTGATCAATGTTGGCGAGATTTAACATGTTTAAATTATGTATGTCAACATTTCATTATAATTGTGAATAAAAAAAAGTCTTCGTACCCATTTAAAGAAGTATTGTCGTAGTGTAAATATAATCGAAGGTTTTTCCAATCTATGTACGTGAATAGGTCATAAAATCTTTTAAAAATTCTTTACCTAAGAAATGATTCTTCATTGCCTTACTTCTCTTTAATTTGTGTTTCTCAATGGTTGTCATCTCTATTTAGCATTATGAAACACAACCAATTCCAAATCCAATATCGTATTATTTGCATCAAACACCGTATGCGTTTCATAAATTTGAAGTAATTATCAATCATATTACAGAATTAGCTACACCCGCGTTCGTTTTTGGCTTATTTGGATTTACTCGTCATAGTCGATTAGTTCGACATATCGGTGGAACTATTCAAATTGTTTTTCAAATATTACTCATAATTAGTGGAAATTTGAGCGTATTAAATTATGTAACAATTGCTCCGGCACTATGGTGTTATGATGATAAATTTTGTTTATGGAAATATATTTTTAATACTAAACAACATAAAATAGTCAAAGAAATTAAAACATTAAATAAACGACTATACTTAATGAAATTAATTCGTTCGATTGTTCATTTATGTGTATTTGGATTAATTGCTTATCTTAGCATCAAACCTATTGCCAATTTGTTTTCACGTTATCAAAGAATGAACAGCTCTTTTGATCGATTAAATTTAGTAAATACCTATGGAGCATTTGGTTCAGTGGGTAAAATACGAGATGAAGTCATTATTAGTGGTTGTGATAGAACAAATGTTGATGAATGTAATACGCATAATTTATGGAAAGAATATGAGTTTATCTGTAAACCGGGTAATATTTCTCGTCGACCATGTTTTACTGCACCCTATCATCAACGTCTTGATTGGCAAATGTGGTTTGCAGGATTTCAAGACATTCAAAATAATCCATGGTTAATACATCTAATGATTCAAATGTTGGCTAGTGATAAAAAATCGGCTATCAACGCTATATTAGCTACAAAAGGAAATCCGTTTTTGGACAGTCCACCAATATTCATAAAAGCTGATTTGTATCGGTATAAATTTACACGTCTTGGAACGGGTGATAAAAATTGGTGGGCAAGAAAATATATGAGACAATATTGTCCTATTCTAAAATTAGATAGTGCTAATGTCAAATCAATAATGAGACAAATGAAATGGAAAATTCCCGTATATCCGATCCGATAGAAGACGTATTGACGTATTTGTTTTTGCTTTAATCAAGCGTTTTATTCGCCTGTTATTGCTTTTGCGCTTTCCTTTCAAGTGATCTCAAAAATGCAGATATTTATTAATTGTTTTATTTTTTGTTAAATTACATTGTTATTAATTGCTACAAGTATAGTCAGTTGCTTTATTAAACACGCTTTTGTTTAATTAAATACAACAAAAATGCTGTTATTATATTGAATACAATTCAGATGTTTCGTGTTCGTTTTTGTAAAACGGAACGAACGTCTAGTCGACAATCATTTATTGATTTTACATAATTTATTACTCGTCAGTGGTAGTTAGATGAAAGAAAAGTAAAACTGAAATAATATTATTGACTTTGATTAGCCATTATCTATGCAGATGTTTGATGAATGCTGATAAATCCTTTGTATGATTAATGTTTCCACATGAAACTATGTAATTCTTGCATACTAAACATAATTTTTAATGTAACACGTCGCGCGTTTAATATACTGATGAAACTTCTGTTCCATTCTGTGTGTTAGTCTATCTTAAATGTATAAATCTGTGAAGAAAATCCACCTATTCGCATTGCATAATCGTACGCAACACGAACGCACTGTGGCACGAGAAGATATTATTTTTTAGAAACATGCAAATAGCTGTAATAAATAAAGATGTATCATTTTTACATGGGTACGAAAAGAATGAGAGAAGTATAAAATATAAATAAAAAGTTGCTTTTGGTTGCTGAGAAAAATCATTTTTTCTAAATCAGAGGCGAAAAAGTCGAAATTCTGCCCTTAATTCCCAATTTTCTCGATCAGAACTCAACTTTTGAGCAATAAAAATATCATATTCTGAATCAGGATCAAAAACTGAGTCTATCGATGCGTATTTCTATCCTATCTGACTACTTTAATGTTTTTCGAATTTTCATGTTGAAACATTACCGAGAGTTTCACCCAAAACTGAAAATCAACTAAAAATTTCGAAATACACATCAGTCGACTCAGTCTTTGATCCTGATTCCGAAAATGATATTTTTACTGCTCAAAAGTTGAGTTCTGATGGAGAAAATTGGGAATTACGGGCAGAAGTCCGACTTTTTCGCCTCGTATTTAGAAAAAATGATTTTTCTCAGCAACCAAAAGGAATTTTAAAAAACTGTTCGTATAGTTTTGATGCTGAGCATCTAGCGAACCTAACCACGTGAAAATATTGACTCTACTACCGCTAGGGAAACCTGTGATAGGCTTGCAAAATTGGCTGCCGTCTTTGAGCCATGCATATTGCAACATTTTTTGTGAATAGACGTTTGGTTCTAAAAATGTTTCAAGACCATTTCCTAATTCAGTTTTAGATGCTGAATTTAAAAAACTTTATTTTGAGCACCAAAAAAACTAAGACCATTTTTATAAAACCTTACGTTTTTCCATGTTTTGGTACCCTTTCAGTATTCTGAGTTTTTCAACCGGAAAAAAGTGTCAAAAGATCGAGGAACATATATTCGTGATCAACGCTATCTCCTCTGTCGAATGGTGTATAAAAAGGTCGAAAATAAATTTTGATTACAAGTTTGCTTTCTGCGCATCTTATATAAAATATCGTTGCTCGGACGCTGCTGTTTGTTAATATAGCATCATTTTAATAATTGATACTATGAATTTTAACAAAAATGTTTGCATCAGTCGATAGCTAAGAGTCACATCTGTCGACCTGTTCAATACCGTTCTTGTTTCACTCAAAAAACGAGTTAGTTACAGTTCAAATGGTGCAAAAGGTCGAGAGAGTGACCATAAGTACTACAAGCAAGTCTAGAACGTTGGACAATCACAATAACCAATTTTTCATTTACTTTGAAAAGAGAAAGCATTTTCAGATTAGAGACTGTTATATACTCTTAGTAAAAAAGGTATAAAATAATCAAAAATCATTCAAGAAAGAAGATTCAACTTTGAAACTCTGTTGGAACAAAATGACGTCGTTTATAATCACATTTAAAGCAACAGATATATACGATTGTTGTTAGAATCATCATAATTGCCATTGCATAAAGTGGAACTATAGAGAGTAACAGTTTTTTGTTTTGTTTTTCAAATGAGAATGAAAAATAATTCTTAACTTACTAGTATAATCTAATATTACTCCATGTGCAACCGAACATTTTTGTACAAGCATTTCCGCTTCGTTCAACGACCGCCCAAATCGTGGTAATACCGTGACCATTATTATTCCAAGAATTTGACTTTGAATGACAGAAGTATATACAAATAACTATTCATTTCACTAGTATGATGAATTACCTTGACATAAAATTAATACCAGTCGCTGTTGCTTCTGCTATAGGATGTGTACATTCAATACTCAAATCCATTGATAATGGTAAAATTGGTAAACTGACAAAACCAACGATGGCAAATATCAGATATAGAAAATATTTCGGTACTTGATTTATAATCAACTAGATAATATACAATAACTTTATTAATATAGGTTAAATTGTATTTATAATACATTACCAAAACAATAGTGATATAAGCCAATGAACTTAATCCATATAATATTTTTGATATTTCTTCTAATTTTCCCGTTTTATCAGCGAAATAACCAAAGACTAGTACGCCCAATGTACCAGCACCAATAAAATAGCCGAGACAAAAACCAACAACCATCTAAAACTGATATGAATTATTCATAAGAAAGGCAAAAATGTAATACATACATCATCATAACCAAATGGACACATCATTTGTTCTACTAAAGTTGATAGTGTATTGAAACAAGCCAACGCAAAACCACAGCCAATAAATAACATAATGTAGGATTTTGAATACAGTAACTAAATGAGGATAATACTTGCAAAATGGTATTTATGTAACGATACTCGTGTACTATCGTGCAGTAAAATAAGTGTTCAACAGCAAAAAGCATGCAAAGACAAAAAAGTTTTACAAATAGAAAATAGTTTTACCGATTCTTTTTGTTATACCTACTTTTTTCAATGATACGAAAAATGGTTGTTTCACATCGGTCATTGCTACGCATGATGGCGTAGGCGGATTACTTGTTCGAATACACACTGAAAATAGAGCAGCTAATAAGGCTGGTGCTACATTAATATACAACTAAATACAGAAAACTATCCACAGTATATTTTAGTATTATTATTTTTAAAAAATGCACCTACTAAAAGAGAAATATTTTCTTTATGTTTTACAATTAATGGTGATAGAATACTACCCATCAATATACCAAAGTAGTTGCCTAAACAAATACTAAATGAGAAGTAAAAATGAATATATATCGTTGTCCGTAAGTACTTCCGATTGCAATTGAATTCGCTAAGGAACGTTGTTTTTCAGAAAACCAAACAAATGAAAATTTTGTTGGAATAAAAAGGATATATGTTTGTGCTACTGCACATAGAAATTGACCTAAAGAGAAAATTAACGTTATTATTTCTCACTCCATACAAGGGGACAATATGACTACCTAGTAATACGATTGGAAAACGACTATGTATACTCAAAAAAGACCATGTACTTATTACACGTATAAAACTTCCTAAAGCATTTAACCATGAACCAATTATCATCTAAAATAAACGATATAAAATAGTTGAAATGCATGCATGAATAAAGTTATACACTAACACCACTTTTAATACCAATTTTATCTATGATCCATGTCGATGGTAATGTAAATGGAATTGTCACAGCCATATATATGAGTGATAGCCAATTAATGGCATCATAATTGACAGAATAATATTGCGTAGCTATATCGGCAATTGGCGAAAAATTTATCCAAATCTAAATAATTTTTTAAAATGTTTATGTGAATAACATGATTAATTACACACCATAGCGTTAGATATTTGAGCTAAACATATAATAAATAGATAAAACCATCGTCGTTTATACGTAACAAATAGGAGTAACTCGTCACTGACATTTTGTGGTAATATTTCATTTATTAACATGGCTTTCTACAAAAACAGATTAAGATGATTAAGAAACATTTATTGAACTGCTACAAATTCCGCAACATTGTGTTTCTCGGCAAAAGCTAAATTTTTCTCTAATATATTACATAGTCAATTTTAATGAACAATAGGATATATAAATATTTGACACGTAGAGTTGCTTGTGGTACTTATGGTCACTCTCTCGACCTTTTGCACTATTTGAACTGTAACTAACTCGTTTTCCATACTCCAAGAACTTCCAAAAAAACTGAAGAACAAGTTTTATGTTCTCCGAAGAATATAACAGGTGAAGATCACACTTTCTAAAGAACAAAAGTGTTGTTCTTCAGATTTTTGGATCTCTGTGGGGAGCAAATTGTTCTCTGAAGAACTCATTTTTTTTAAGAACTATCAAAAAGTTGAAGAACATAATTTTTGTTCATTAGAGAACAATAATTTCTTTTTTCGCCTTGTTTTACAACTGTTTTACACAGATATCGGCTGAAGAACTCAAATCCTCATGATTCCATTTATTTTAAGAACGTGGCTTTCTTTCATATATAGAGCTACCGTCATAGAAGATTTTGATCACTTGTTAGTATAAAAATTGATTAGTAAGTTGCAATGTTAGTTGCATTAATAAGCAGAAAGGTGATGTACAAAATAAGAAGAGTTTCTCATGGAAGAACACGAAAACAGATTTAGTTAAACATAATACAGCATAAACGAGAAAATTATGCACGAAAGAGTAAAAAATAGCGTACTTTGTGAGCAGCATACAAGAAAAATGTGTAAATAAATGAAACGAATGTTAGTATAAAAGCATGCGTCAGATTAGAGAGGTGGAAGACTAAAACAACTTAATTACACCTCACAGTCTGGAACTCCTCTTTTGCTTCTAAATTTCCTCTTTAGCACAAATGAAAACAAACAGACAAAACTACGATAGAATAGAATCTGAAAGAAGAATAATCATCCAAAAATCAATGATTTGACAGAAAAGATTTCAATAAAACTAAGGACGATCATGCAGCTGGCAAAAAAAATGTTTGTTTGTTTATTGCTTTATGTTTGTAGAAGGCAGTCATTATTACCATTTGATCGCATTCATCGCCTCTCCTCAATTTGCGCCGATACACGCATTTTCATAAACGAATATTTTAATGGGTTGTGGATTCTTGTTCTTTGAAGAACAAAAATATGATTACGTTCTTCAGAAAGCTGGGAAACAAAAATGATGTTTTCTGAAGAACAAGAATTCGTTTTTTGTTCTTTATAAAAATGAAAAACTAATTTTTTGAAGAACAAAAACGTGAAAATAGGCTGAAGAATATATTCTGTTCTTCAGTTTTCAAAGAACAAATTCGTGTTCTTCACCGTGTTCTCCAAAGAATGGAAGAACACAGATTTTTAACAGTGCAGTGTTTTTTCTATTCAGAATATTTAGGAAGTAGAAGAAGAATACCCCGCCTTGCGACTATCATGTATCGGTGTAGAATGCTGTCGACTGCCAGTTTCAATAGCCCAATATCGTTCCTGTAATTGACAAGCTTTTGACGGTGTAACTCATCTCGTTACTACCCATCAAACACAACTCTGGACAGAAGGCTAACCCGACGCAGAGTTCTTTTCGCCGTCAAGTAGTAAATGTTTATATTTATACGTTATATTTTTATGTCGACAGACATTATGTGTTTTTGCTGGGATTTTTGTTTTTTATTTTCTTCTTTCTTTCTTTCCTTCGTCCCTTTTTAGGCAAAATGTGCACCTCGTCATCTAGAGAACTATGAAAGCTAGAAAAGTTCTGGAAAAGGTAGGATATTTCTCCCGACATTGGAGATTGATCAATACAAGTTCTTTTTTTCAAAACTAAGTCCAGATTCGGCGCCATAAGCTACACAAATAGAAGTAAAATGTTTTTTGGACTTGGAAACTTTTCGTACATTTATAAGAGCTGATTGTCCGTCGCCATTTGTTCTTGAGACGAAATGTCAAATAAATATATCTGTATTGATTTGATTTACTCAGTATACATAAATATATATATAAATTGAGTAAATCAAAGCAAAAATGCAGTGCTTACAACCTACTGGTAGGATCTGTTTGAAGCGGTAGGTTCCGTCAGAGACAGAGTCTGTCGACATCGCAACTTGTGCGTAACACAACTGCATTCTAGAGATATACAGGGTGCCCTTACCCTACCCTGCAGGGTAGGACAGGGCTAGGACTTCGAAGTCACAGCGTAGGGTAGAGCCAGGGCTTTGTCTAAAAAAGATATATCGTCGGTACAACATTGAGGTCGGTCGCTAGCAACAGTTATTTTAAACTCTTTATTTTATCGGATGCAAGACACCCATTTTTAGAATTTAGAAACGGTCGATGACATTATGTTGCTACGAAATTTTAAAAGAGAATTTTTATGAATATGATTCATTTATTTAAAAAAATAAAAATGAAAAATGAAAAATGATCAAATTATCAAAGGGTAGGGTAGGACCAGGGCTCAAAAACTTTTCACAAGGTAGGGCAAGGCCTCTATAAATAGTTACCATGCACATCTCTACTGCATTCTAGTTTATTTTGTAAAAATGATTGAATACCAAGGTCTACATTTTCTTTTTATATAGTCTAATGATTCTCTATTTTCATGTATACTTTATACAGTAAAACAATCAAGTATGTTTCTAGATTTAAACCAGGTTCATTTCAGTCATTTTCACTGTGGTGATCGTAATTATCCTAACGGTGTATGTTGGCTGACCATAACCATCTCACGTGGGGTAATTATGATCAGGCTAAAAATAACGGCTGATAATTGATAGTATGAATTTTGACAAAAATGTTCACTTCAGTCGATAGCTAAGAGTCACATCTGTCGATCTGTTTCATACCGTTCTTTTTACGCTAAAAAACGAGTTAATTACAATTCAAATAGTGCAAAAGGTCGAGAGAGTGACCATAAGTACCACAAGCAACTCTATAACGTTAGACAATCACAGTAATTAATTAAACAAAAAACAACCTTGTTCGCGTATATTGCATTCAAGAGGGAAAACGAAGTCTTGTGTAGAAGAAAAAGTTGTTTTGTATGATTATGTGTGAATATATATTCGTATTATTAACGCAGAATTTATGTTTGTAAATGACATTTGTTTGATGAATAACAAGATAACAAGTGTAAAGTAAATAAAACAATAAATTTATCCTTGCAGAGAAAAGAGCATAGTCATTGAAACGATAGAAGAGATTAATACACAATTTAGAATCGTGAAATCTCTAGATAATATATTAAGGGCTCGCCCCCCGCCCCCTCCCCCCCCCCTCAGGAATCCGATGTTTTCTTCGAAATCTTCGCAACTGAAGTAACCATACGGTTCAGTATCCCAAAATGTCATCTTTCAGAATCCATCTTAGTTTGCCAAAAATTCAATGTTTTGGGAGGATGTTGAAAGAGATTTCTGAAAGCCCTAAAAGGCACCTTTTTCTAAACTTTACGCTTTAATTAAAATTTTTAAGGTTGTTCGTTTTAACAGACATGGAGCTATGTTGAGCAGAGTGTTCTGATCAGAAAGATATCCAGCAGCTTAGTACGACCTTGTCTTGCAGAGTTATACTAGTTTTGCTAAAGGCGCTGAACTATAATTAATGAAGTGATGACGTCATTGCTTAGAATACGGTTTTGGCGCAGTAGAGTTGTAATAACTCCTAGACGATCCATCGAAAAACCTTCATTCTTTTTTTATTTTCAAGTTAAGACATTTAACTTTAATTCGCGGCGATTTTTGACTTTTGTTTTCTGTGCAGAGATAAGTGGCAAATACTCCGCCGAATTAGGATTATTTTCAGAGGTCCGACTAATAGTGAATTTTTTAGCCAGGGATGGAAACAGCCTGAAAAACCCTAGTTTTCATAAAAGTCGGTTTCCACAGGCTTACGCATTTGTTTTCAAAATCAAACATTGCTGAAAGATTCAGCGTTGTCGATTACCTATGTTCCATCCAATTGTAAGTCTTATTCGGAGTGGTCCTTTATATTGTTATTGTTTGTACGAATTTCCAGTGTAAGAATTTATCTCCCCGATTTTCTACGTTTCTGAAAAAGAAAAGTTTCCTGTAGCTCCCTAGTCATCGGTTCTTACAGGGTGATCAAAAAAAACTTACCCCCTGTGTATTTATTGACTTTCTTGTGTACAAATATAATTGAACTTTTTATCATTAGTTTATTCAAATAGAGCAAAGAGTTCTGGACAAAATGAGACGTCTTCGAGCTCTCCAAGAACTTTTTTCATGAAACAGCATTGAATTTACGGAAGGTCCCAAGAGCATATTTTTCTTGTTTGTCCATTAATTGTCCCGATTTTGGTGGTATGGGACCTTCCGTAAATTGAATGCTGTTTCATGAGAAAAGCTCTTCGAGAGCTTGGAGACGTCTCATTTCGTCCAGAAATCTTTGCTCTATTCGAATAAACTAATGGTAAAAAGTTCAATTATATCTGTACACAGGAAAATCAATAAATACACAGGGGGTAAGTTTGTTTTGAATCACCCTATATATAAGAATCTTCCAAGCATCTTATAAGAATCTGATAAGAATAACGTGCGAGTTTTGCTGACTCTTACCAATTTCTTATGGATTCTTCTGAGATTCTTATAAGAGTTCACAAATTTTTTTTGTCTAGGGCTAGATCGTGTCACCAACTTCTTTTTGTTCGAGAAGAATGGAGCAGGAAACTCCATTAGTGTGCAAAGCGTAAAGTGCTACATTAATTCACTTTTAGTATGCAGAGATTGCTTAATTATATCGTATTGATTCAGATGATTCATTAGGAGAAAATATCTTTTAAACAAAAATACTCCAATTCGAAAATGTTCGATCAAATTTATTCATTTGAGAAACATTTGCCAAATATTTCATATAATATTGTTCCTCGTGTATACCACGAATCTGAGCTCTGTTTTGAAGGTAAACGCTTAGACAACCATAAGATCTGTGAAATACGTTCTACACTTATGTTT